ATTTTTTTTTTTATTTAAAATAAAAAAATAAGACAGAGTCTCACTCTGTTGCCCAGACTAGAGTCCTGTGGTGTCAGGCTAGCTCACAGCAACCTCAAACTCCTGGGCTCAAGTAATCCTTCTGCCTCAGCCTCCCGAGCAGCTGGCACTACAGGCATTCACCACTATGCCCGGCTACTTTTTTCTATATGTTTTTAGCTGTCCAAGTAATGTCTTTCTATTTTTAGTAGAGATGGGGTCTTGCTCTTGCTCAGGCTGGTCTCGAACTCCTGAGCTCAAATGATCCACCTGCTTTGGCCTCCCAGAGTGCTAGGATTACAGGCGTGAGCCACTGCGCCCAGCCAGTTTTAGGAAATTTTTAAGAGAACTATCATAGGAGACCTTATTTTGTTAAATGACTGTATAATTTGTTTAATAAACTATTTTATGATGAAGGCAAAACACAAAGGGAAATATATGTATATGTAATTAATTAGAAAAATGTAACCAAATAGTTTTTTCTTAAATGAGTAGGCTGGGCTTTGGTGGGGGTTGAGGATAGGGAGATTCCTTCTGGAAAAAGTAGCAGGGTGTGCCCAGAATTGTAATAGAAATATGATAGGATAAATCTTCTACTTTCATGGGTTTTTTTGGTTCTATTAGCCAACCATATTTATAGATAGCTTCTGAAATTTTAGTATTATTTAACATTGTGCTTGAAACAAATTGGTTATTTTAATCTATTTATAATTGTTTTGCATAATAGGAAGCTTCCCTGATCATATTCAGATTTATATTCAGATGTATTCAAGAATTAGAAAATAATTTTTTGTTTACTTAGGCAATTTTCTTTGTTTTAATAAATGTCTTTATTTCTTTTGTTCGCATAGCTTGTTGGAAATCAAATCAGAAGTTTTTTATTATAAGGCAATACATAAAAGTGAATTTTTGAAAGTGAATTTTGCCTTTTAAAGTCTTTTAGGATTCTATCTACTTTTATAAAGTTTACTTTTATTGAGTTATAAAATAAGATTTTTAGTTGAATGAAATCATTCTATCAACTATATCTGCATTTTTAATTCTCATGCATAATTTTTTTAATATTTTTTCTGATCTTGGGTGATTTAAGTACATCATAGTTTTTCTGGATTATTAAATATTCTGATAAATATTCCAAGAATATGTTAAAAATATCTCAGTAATTTGATTAATTAAACGAAGGCTTTTTTGTTTTTCTTAATGACTGCTCTTTCCTGGCTGTTCTTAGCCTGACTCAGCCGCTGTGTGTGTATACCATACAAATAGGGCATGTATGTTAAAAATTGTCAGTTATTATTCTTGTGTTATGTGTTTTGAGTTTCCTCTTAAAAGATATCATTCTTACAAAACCCCTTTACTCTGACTAATGGTGCTATGATATGGAATAGTATATATTTTCCACCAGAGGGAGTCTTGCCTATGATTCCAAACCTCTATTATTTGTTTATTTTTTAAACATGGTTTATTTTTTAAACATGGTTCTCCTTCCCTGTTTTAAAGATAGAAGTTACTATTTCCATCATTATCTTAAAAGCAGACCTCCAGGTTGTTGGACCTAAGTCTCAATAGTTGGTCAGTGCAGGCTTCTTTGACAATTGTTTTTGATCGTTAATTGAATCTAGATTGTAAAGGTAAACTAGGGAAAGGAAAGAATGATTTTTGTTAATGGTAACTTAATGGCATCTCATTATTTTTTATTTTCTTGACAACGCTCATAAATGACAGATTGGAGGATCAGACTTGGTGACATTGGAGGGCTCTTCACTGCTGAGGCTTGTCTTGTTGCTTGTCTCCTCTGGCTAACACTCCTTAGCAAAAAAGTATTCCTATGTATTTTCTTTGTTTTAAAGTCATTAATTCATTTCAAACTTTTTTCATTTGTTACTAGATAATAATCAAGCTAGTTTTGAGTGTCATGATTAGCATTTGTTACAAATTTTTAATAAAAGGTTTGCAAAAGTTGTACTGAAGGATTTCATTTGTTTTTAGTACTGTCTTAGCTGTAACATAATACAACATAGTACAAGTATAACTTATTTTTTTAAGTGTGCATTTTCGAAGATGACTTCAGTAACTGAGGGAAAGGGATCCACTGAGAATAGGCAGTAAACAGCGAAGAAGAAGTGGGCAACATGGTGTGCAATGTGGTATTCATAGTGGGTCTTTCTGCTTGGTGTACTGTGCCTAATAAACGGGAAGCATTCCTTCTTGGCTTTCCGTAAGCCTATTTTCCAAGCAAGAATTATTGTTGTTGGTAACTTAGGTAGGTCGAATTGTAAGTTGAAGTCCTAAATCCTTATTTAATAATAATATACTTAATAATACATTGTCCATGCTTACTGTTGTCTTTTTGGTGTTCTAACTTATTCCTGCTAGTTTTCACAAATGAAAATTTATGTTAAAGGGGAAGATTGCCTTAATGATTGTGGGTTTGTTCTTCCCCTTTTATTTTTAGGTGCAGTTTTCTTGGTTATTTTTTGCAGGCGCTATCCCTGTATTTTTTTCATTTTTTATTGCAACTCTCTTATGCCATTATAATAATTGGGATCCCGTGATGGTGGGAATCAGAAGAATTTTTGCCTTTATATGCAGAAAACATCGAATTCAGAGGTAGGTTTAGTTCCAATACAGATTTTAAAAAAATAATGTTTGCTAAATAAAATGAGAGTCATATCATGCTGGCCTAGTTTTTAGAGATTTTTATGAGGAATTATTGAAAGAATATACTTTACCTATATGTTATCCCAGATAAAAATAAAATAATTTGTTCAGGTCCTTTGGGTAATAAGATAGTTTCTTCCTAACTACTTTTCGGAAAAAATGTTTTGATTCACAGGTAAAACCAAAATGCTTACTATTTTGCCATAATGAATTTAAATGAAGACTTTTATTGGTTTGAACATAATTCATAATAGAATATGATAGCACTGCCTAAAATTTTCTTTTTTTGATTTCTTTCTTTTTAAGAAAAAAATGTTATTTACATTTTACTCTAAAAAGAATTTGGGACAAGTTGTTGGGAAATTTTGTCCCAGTGTTGGTTCTGCCACTAACTTGTATCCTGACCTCACAACTTGAGCCAGTAGATCCCATAGTGTTTAAGGTTCCCTTTTAGCTGTAAAGCTTTCTTTAACTGCTGCTTTTTTTTCTTAAGAGTTCCGGAAGACAGCGAACAGTGTGAGAGTCTCATTCCTATGCACGGTGTTTCTCAGGAGGATGGAGCTAGTTAGCTGTTGTCTGTAGCCCAGGTATGTATGTGAGCTGGCATTAGTATTGAATACGATTCTTATTCTTGTAATATTCAAACGTAGGATTGATTTTCCATAATTAGTTGTTTGAGAGGCAGTGCAGCCTAAAGGCTAAGGAAATAGCCCCTGGAGTCAAACTGGGCTTCAATTCCAGCTTCTCCATGTACTAGCTGTGTGACCTTATGTAAGGTTCTTAACTTTTTTATGCTTCAGTTTTCATATTTGTGAAATGGGATTACAGTAGAACCTCCCTCATAAGGTTATTAAAAATATTAAATACTTGGCAAGTTTAAGTATATACAGTAGTGCCTGACTCAAGTTAAATTATATCAGTAAGTTTTAACTCTTATTTTTATTCATGTTAAGGGTCATCATTTTATTTAATGAGATACTTTAGAAAAATATTTTTTCTCTGATTATAAAAGTAAGAATAAATGTAATATTTTGGTGTATATCCAGTCTTCTCTGTGTGTGTTTTATATAATCGACACAATGTATATCCTGATTTTCTGACTGCTTTGTCACTTAGCGATGTTTCAGGAACATTTTTTCATTTTTTAGGTTTTAAAAAATACTGTCTTTTATATTTCTTAGATGACAGAAAGTGTGCATGATATTTAATGTTTTGCTGATAGAGTGCTTGAAATAAATCCAGTGCATATCTTTGGCAGATAGAAAAATGATGTTTATTTTGAATGAGAGATCACGATAAATTACTAGAATTCTGGAGATTCAGGTCCCTTTGTTCTGAGATATCTTTAGACAATTTATATTGAAATGTTTCCTAATCACAACTGGGTTTCCCTTCCCCAAGTAGAACATTGTACAACTCCTGTTAACTCCTGACACTCACTTTGGCCTTGAGGCTTTAAGTGTCATTATCTTCTTGGTAAATTTGCCTCTAACTTAAGTCTAATTGTCTAAGTTTTTGTGTTTTTCTTTGGTGGGTTGTTTTTTAATTTAGTTTCACCATTTTGATGGTTATACATGCCCATGGTTTGAGTTCTAGTTCTCCAAGACTTCTTGTACAAAGCAGTTACCCCTTCCCCACCCTGTCCACACTGCATCATGCTTTCATTCTTTTCCCACTCTGAGGAAATCGCTTTAAACTCTTTTTTTTTTTTGAGACAGAGTCTGGCTCTGTTGCCCGGGCTAGAGTGCCTAGCTCATAGCAACCTCAAACTCCTGGGCTCAAGCAATCCTACTGCCTCAGCCTCCCAAGTAGCTGGGACTACAGGCATGAACCACCATGCCTGGCTAATTTTTTCTCTCCATATATATTTAGTTGTCCAGATAATTTCTTTCTGTTTTTAGTAGAGACGGGGTCTCACTGTTGCTCAGGCTGGTCTCGAACTCCTGACCTTGAGCTATCCACCTGCCTCGGCCTCCCAGAGTGCTAGGATTGAGCCCAGACGTGAGCCACCGCGCCCGGCCTCACTTTAAACTCTTAGCTGATTCTTTTGATATTTACCTTCTTGTCTTTAAGTATCATGTTATGACTTTTGTTTCTTGAGTTTTCAGTTTTAGGCATCTTCAATTGACTTTTCCACTAAGGTTGATGAGGATAGATTATTTTCAAGTTTATTTTTCCTCTGCTCCCATCCCACATGCCTGCCTCCCAGCCCCCTATCAGTCCTACCTCCTCCTCCTCCTTGTGTAGTTATTGCATAATTCTGGGTAGATGGAAGTGAGATGGAGAAGAGGCACTTGACCAACTGTGAAAAGTAAAGGGAAGACATCTGAGAGTCTAGCTGCTTTTTCTATAGAGTTTGTACCAGTCTTCCTATCTTTCTTCATCCCTCCTTACAGAGATAAATATGGTCCTATTTCTCCATTGCTAGCTAACAGTTGGCTGCCATTTTCTTGTCTCACAGCTCTTCTCTTTGTCCATTGGTTTATTCCTTTTAAGGAAAAATCCCTTGATTGTCTTTAGTGAGGTTTTGGTGAAGGAGTGGAACTACATAGGTGTTTATTTGCCATCTTTAAATTTAAAAAAACATAACCACAATTACAGTAAGTCCTTACTTAATGTTGTTGATAGGTGCTTAGGAACTGTGGCTTTAAGCAAAATGCTATACAACAAACAGTTCCTCAAATAATTTTTTTTTTTGTTATAAAGTTGATAAGGAAAAAAATTGGTTTTGTTGTCATTTTGCCTAAAGTTGTAGTTTCCAAGAACTATTGACAATGTTAAGTGAAGACTTACTATATTCTGTAAAGATTTTAAATGCTGTAATTTATACATTATTTTTCCTTGGTATGCTGTGCATTACTTCCATACTTACACTCAAACCCACCCCCACCCAGGCAAGGTTTCAATATTTTTAGAAGTGAGAGCTGGATAAAGGGAAGATAGTGAAGACTAAAGAAGATGAATTGCAACAGAGTAGCGTAGAGTAGAACAGGTTGAGCAGGAGTCTTTGTCTCTGCAGGGGTAATGGTGGGCAATACCAGGAGTAAAACTAACTGTTAATACGTAATCTGTAAATTGTACTGGATATAGCCTTTGACATTGCTATAGAAGTCACTTTCATGAGTTCTTAGTACTTCTTCAAGTATCCAGTTATTAAGTACATATACAGTGTATGATAGATATGTCAACATTAAGATAATTTGGTTTTTAAAACCTGAACTTCAGGAAATTATAATCTAATCATGTTTTTTGTAATTTTTTTTTTGTTTTTGTTTTTAGCTTGATAAGGAACATTATACAGCGAAGAGACAATCTCTGGCAAGTTTTTGTAGAAAAATGTTTCAGTGCCTAGTCTGAAAAATAACAGTTTCAGTTCTTTGAAACTCTAAAATGTATTTTTCTCATATCTGTTTTCTTCATTTTCATAATGAAGTACTTTGCTATGTAGCTGTGTACATATCACTACAATTATAGGAAGTTCCAGTCCATAGTCCATCTAAAGGACCAATCTGCCTTACCACATCTCAAGGAATTCAGCTGATGAAATCATTTGAACTAATCAAGAAATGAATCCTAATGTTCTGGAGACTTTATTTTCACATATTTGTTAAATGCTGGACTATATTATGAAAATGTTTTTAAGAAATCATTTAAGTATTCATAGACCAGTATTTCTGACAGGTAAAATGCGAAAATAAGCTACCTGTAATAGGTACGGATTATATTTTAGAGTTTTGTAGAATATTGCAAATTAACCACATAGAAAAATGTTTAATTTATGCAACAAGTATGTTCATGCAAATTTGGTAGGACTTTAAAAAGAATAAATATTTGAGAAACGATCTGGTTCACTTACATTACATATGCTGTATTGTCCTTTCATAGCATTAGGTGCCTTGTATTTTAAATCTGTGACAAACCATGACAAATTTTTAAAGGAGAAGTATTATTATAAAATGAAGAATTGTGTATTTCTAAAGGCTGTATTGCTGTAAATTTAATTGATAAAGCTCTGTTTAGAGTTTTGAAGAAATATTGTCTCTTCAATTAAGAAATTTTCATAATGGAATGATTTAAATTGAAGTGATAAAGAGTATTATTAAAATAAAATTTTTATATGTGTATCTGTGTATTATAGATGTATCAAGTAATTTCTAATTTTTTTCACATATAAATGTGCCAAATTACTCTAGAACTAGATGATGCTGCTTTAAATAATTTTAGTTTTTCTAAATCAATTTTTGATGGTTAAAATACCAAAGAAGAGAAATAATAAGGGATTCTACTTAAAAAATTACATTTGAATTTTTCCTCTACCAAGATTAAATTAAATGTAAAATACTCCTAATTGCAACTCCTCCTAAACAAAGGCCTTACAGGTACTTATTGTGCAACTGCTGCTGGACTCTATTTGCTGCAAACATCAGTGAACATGTGTCCCATGAGTCACTGGGTTTGACTAAGCAGAATCCATTTCCTTTTCAAGTTTTGTGAGAGTAGTTTAGTTCTGCTCAAAATTACTTAACAAATCTGATTTTTAAAAGTTCCCTTTGCAGTGTTCCAGCTTCATTTTGTCCTATTCATGTTCTTAAAATTGCTTTGGTGTTATCATGAGTCTAAAATGAAGTTTAGCCATCTTTCTGCTTAGTCCTGAGAACTTCTATATTAATTTAAAAAATTACGATATTAAATTTAAAAAATAGCTGTCTTCTCATTTGGTACCACCAATAATTCTTAAGCTAAAAATGTTGATTTTTATTATACTTTCTGACCTTTTTAGCTTGACAGGGTAAAGGCTCAAGAATGTGGATTTCTAAGGAATTTTCTTTTAAAAAGAACTTAATGAAGTAACACTTCAATTACTCAAGGACTAATTTTGATTAAAGTTTATTATCTAGATACCTTTACTTTCTGTTTTTGCTGCTTGACAGTTCACAAAAACCTTCAGTAATTTACAGGATAAAATAGTTGAAGCAGTAGAGGTAAAACTTACATTTTAAATTATTCTGTAAATATGGTAGGAAAAGAGATTGAACTGGGAATTTTTTGGTTGTTCGTATGCTCTTTGCTTATATCATCGCACATCATGTGTGGTCACTCAGGATTCTCAAAATAGTAAGCCTTGGTTGTAACATGCTGGGTGGATCTCAGCAGGTCTTCTTCCACTAGCACTAGACTGATTTTTTTCTTTTTTTTTAAATCAAAGAACAACTTCTTTAGAAAGAAGCACCATTAAGTTGGTTAGCTGAGAGTATGAGTTACTGCTCCTTTGCTTGCCCTACCTGTCTCTTCTCTCAGGTTTTATTATCTGAATGATTGTTGTGTTTGAATAGTATAGCCAAGGTGAGTGAGCAATTGAAGACTTCCTTCCTTTCTGCATCTTTGTGATTGAGAGTTTATCTTCTCAAAAAACATAAAGTTTTGCTGGATTGCTTCAATTCAGTGGATTGCTCAGAAACTAGGTAACAAGTCCCTGGGATCCCAGAGACCGCATTGCAGGCCTTTGCAAATGCTGGGGAGAGGTTCCGTTCAGGTAACTGCCAGTGTCCTTCGTCTGCATTGGAACAGTGTTGGTCTGTAATTATATTTTTCTGAATCTGAAAACACAAATAGGGACTTCTCATATCTTGTTTTCAGTCTTCTACTTTTCTTCTCACAGATAATTTAAATCCCATTATTGTATAACGTTTCAAATTATGACCTTGATCGAAGGAGGTCTGTTTTGTCAGATAGTCTATTAGATGAACATCGGAATCTCAATCACAACAAAGCTGAAAAATGAGACAATCTTAAAAGTGAATGCTTTTGAGATGAATGCTTTTTGGAGCTTAGAAGAGCCATTAGTTGTGTGTAATGCACCTATACTTACTCCTTTAAATAAATTTTGATGTTTTTATTGAGATATTGGCTTCCATCAGCCTGACTTAATTAATTCCTTACATTAAACTGATTTTCCCCTGGCAGCTGACGAATAAAGTTCATTGTTTCTGTAGGAGTGAGCTCACAAGGTTAAATGTGAATGTTCTGAAAAGTATACAGCCTTGTTTCAGGAAGAATGCTAATGCCCACTTTAAAATCAATCATGCAGAGCCAATTTGGGGTTGCAAGGCATGACTCCTCTGGAAGCCAAGTTTTTTCATCAGGCGGAATGGTAAGGCCCGCAGCACTAATTCTCAGTGTGCTGGTTGAAGAAATAAAATGTCTTTAAAGAAAGGTAAAGGAAGAATTAATTAGAAAATAATATTTTTTCCCCAATTGTATTAGCAAATGTTATTTTCACTTTAAGTAGTTGTAGTTAGAATCCTGCTTTATTTCTCCCTACTTCTCATTTTGAAATATTCTTTTTTACTAAATAATATTTTAGAAGGAATTGACAGAAATAAGAGATGACTATTATCTGTGACATCTGCAGATTTACCTTTATAGCTTCCACATGTGCGCTGATTTTTTTATGGTGATACGGCATTTATTAGATGATCAGTTTGCAGAATTTGAAGTCAGAGTTCTATATTAATATATCTGTCTTGTCCCAAAAATCCCATTCAGGTAAATTGAGATCCAATTTTTACATAGACTTGCAATTTTTAGACCATGTTATTTTTTTTACGATACCAGCATCATTTGCCTATACAAGGTTTAATTATACAGTGTTTCACAGGTGCACTGTATGTACACAGGAAGTTTTCCTTTAAATTTTAAGAGCTTTTAAGTAAACTGGGGTCAGAAGAGGAGTTCATTATAAATTAGAAGCAAATAATGACCATAGGGAATTTGCTGTTATTTTAATATGAAACTTTTTTGTTTTGCCATCAGGAATAAACGTTGCATGATGATTGAAATCTTTAATGTTAACTCTTATTAAATTATCTTACTTCATTCTGATTTTTTGCTTATCTAAAAAAATGTGATTTGTATGTCTTAAAAACTAAGTATCGCTTGAATGTTTACATTTAAAAAACAATGTTTTCCTATACAGTTTGCTATATTCAATCTACATTAACTCTTAGAATGTCAAATAATGAAATTATTGACACATATTTAAGGAAAAATTATATATGAAAAGTAATTAGTACTCTCTGGTTAGGCATATTTGCTGAAATGTTAATGTGAAATGGCAACATCTCCCGTGAGAACACTTTGAATTTGTGGTGACACAAATGTGATTATATTTTTGAGGTAGGGATTTGGGGTAGAGAAGCACCCAGATGAAGATCCTTCACGGTATTTTAAATGTGGAGAAGTAAAATTTCCAAACTGGAACTTTTAACAAGTTACTTCATGAAATTTTTAGTTTTTAATTTAATTTTACATGTGATTTCTTTCTTAAGAGCTACTTTTATTAACTTTCACTCAGATCCTTGGATGCTAAGCATTCAGTATTTCTCTACTTGATTTTGCTATACCTAGTTTTAATTGTGGTAAGTAATAGTAAAGTCAGTCATATGAGAGTATCCATTAATTTCAATGGGTCCTTGCAAGGCAGGCAGAAGATTTCTTTCCAAGACTCTTATTCTTCACACTAGTTGAAAACAATTCTTTAGATTCTTATTGCTAGTATTTGCTTACTTGGAATAGGTTTCACATTTATTTTTCTTATGAAAAAAATCCAGTGTCAATCAGACCGTGTAACATCCAAAGCAAAATTTTGTTGAAGGCTATCCTTGTCTTAATTATTCTAGAATAAAGTATAATACACTAAGTTCTTTTGACCTTTGTAGTAGCATAGTGTAAATTATATATTTTTAAACATGCGAGACCCTGTCTCTACTAAAAATAGAAAGAAATTAGCTGGACAACTAAAAATATATAGAAAAAATTAGCCCAGCATGGTGGCATATGCCTATAATCCCAGCTACTCGGGAGGCTGAGGCAGGAGGATCGCTTGAGCCCAGGAGTTTGAGGTTGCTATGAGCTAGCCCAATGCCACAGCACTCTACCCCAGGCAACAGAGTAAGACTCTGTCTCAAAAAAAAAAAAAAAACAACCTGAGCAGAGAGAGGCTAGAAAGAATGCAGACAGGACATTGGAAATGCTAATTCCATTTATTAGTATAACATGAAATATGTGATAATGGTTTAAAAAAATCAATTAAATGCCAGGATACATTGTAGGGTAAAGGTTCAAGGTTCAACTAGTATAATCTAAAGTGGGTCGTAATAGTCAAATTAGTTAGACAACAATACTTGTGTGGGACCAGGTATATTTAGTTCGCCTTTGTAGTCATCTTAGTAAATCCTTGTAAAGCTTTGTTTTATATACAATTTTATAGCATATTCTTAGTCTCCTTTGGCTAGTAAATTAAAGCTGAAGTCTTCAAATGTCAGCATACTGGGATTTGCGTACTTATGTAAGACAAGAGTGCATCATTCTGATCAAGTTGCAGCATTTTAATTTTATCTGATAGGTCCGTATTGAGTAATCAGATATGTGCAAATATTAAGTCAGCTTAATTACCAGACCCAGAAGGCCGGAGGTAATCAAAGAGTACTTTAGGAAGATGAAATGTTTATGACGAATTATGTGAACAGTGTTTTAGAAATATTTTTCTTGGTGTGAGTAATTTCATGCAGATTTTTATCTCAATTTTGTTATAAAACTTTATCCTTCCATCTATTTAATAAAATGAATATTTTCAGATTCTGGATATTTAAATTTAAACACAATTATAGTATGAAATAAACCACTACTTATAAGCTTGTGAATAATAAGCTTTCGTCTCTTCTATCACAAAACACAGTTATTAAAATGGGTCTCAGTAACTACAGCTGTGGCCAAAAGCTCTACT